TACATGGAATCTTGCCCTCTGGAGAAAAGGATGAACAAGTCGGCCTACTGCCCATCACCAAAGACTAACCCATCCCACACCCTCTCCAATAGATACCTGTAACCCTCCGTGAAAACAGACAAGACACGAGTACCATCACCGCAAGTAGACTAAAACACCACACCAGATATATCACATCTACCAAATGAAAAGCGCGTCTAAAATGGCCGGCAGGAACGGCAGACTGGTGGGGGTATGCCTCACACCAGGGCATTCGCGTTTTCAATTAGTAAAGGACACGGGTGTCCAGTAGATTAAACAGTACTGTCCTACATAGGGTCTACCCTCAATGGACAAAAATTGGAATCAAAAAAAAAAAATTAATTTGTGTATAAACTAATCACACTTCTAACATAGTCCTGAAGTTCCTGCAGCACACATCAATACTTGTGGTCCACAGTTCCTCCCTGTGCCCATGGTTGCCACTGGAGCCCGCATCCAGTGTTCCACGCAATTACCACAAGTGTTCGCTGATGGCTTCCAAGCTCAAGCCCAGTTGAACATTGCATTGACTGACATCCCATCCACAGCAATTCGCCAGGGAGTAGAATTGGCTACCAGTATGGCAAAGAAACCTGTAACACCGCATTCACAGCGGATCTGTCAATGCCGCCTTGCAGATGTATTTGTCCCTGGAGACAAAAATGCAGGTCCGCTTTTTCGGCTCAGGAATCCTGTCATGCGAAGTTTGGTCCAGTGCTTATTAGCATTGGAGCGAACACTGATGCTGCGCTTGATTGGTTGAGTCTTGGGGATGAATTTTTACTTAAATTACGGATCTTGATTGGAACTACCCGCAGCAGCAAATGGGAGGCGGTGTTCAGGCGCCAAAATGGAACCTTACTTATGAACAGTCTGTTATTCTGTCGAAGGCCCTGCTCGCTGACCTTCAACCAGAGGCTATCAAGGTTGGTGTGTTTTCATACTATCGTCAAATACATTCTTACTCTTTCGGTGTTAGTACAAGATATCTTCAGCTTTGCTGTCCGTCATTCTCAAGATTTTCGGAATCTTATTCTTTGCAAGTGCACTTTACTTCTTTGGGTTATTATTCATGTAGATCTTGGAATCCGTTTATGTCAGTGTAAATATATGTCTCCGTCTACCCTGAACCCACTGTCCATGGACTGGAAAATAATTCATTTATTCACAGTGTGTTAAATATCTCAACTTCAGGCATGAAAGGTTGTGCTTACCCCCTTGCAGAGAAAATGGTCTCTCAATCATTTCATACCGTCAAGAGTGTCCCTACGCATCGGTGTGTTCAAGCACCTCCTTGTACTCGTCCTAAGGTTACCTTAAGCAAAGATGTGCGAGCCGCGCTCAAGCTCAGCCGACAGGAGAAATCTCGCCGCTTTAAGGATGCCCTCGATGATGCTTGGAATGAGCTTGACCAGGCTACAAAGAGTATTGCTGTGTCTCACCACAAGAGCGTTCGCCACGTGCAAAATGATTTATATATTGGTCGTGGATTGCTCCACTCGAGGCGTTCAAAGCTGAATGCATGGAGTGCGTTCTGTTGGAAGAAAAACCAAGAGACCGAGAACCATAGGTTTGTTTGCTTCGCCACTCACATTTACTAACACATTTCATGGCAGATAACCAGGGTAGAGAGGCTCTCAAATCACTCGTCCACAATCATCGGGACAAATACCTTGGACTTTTGAGGGATGATCAAGACAACATCCTCGCAGAATATGCCGAATGGAAAAAGATGAAGGTCACTGGCTTATGCGTCTCGACAAAATCAAAGATAAACAACATTACTCAAACTGTGAAGGCCGTGGAAAATGAGGTGCACCTTCCATTCATTTTGACTTACAACGCTGCTGATGCATAGTCCTTACTACTATTAGCTCAATAGCCTCAATTGTCGCATGGGCGCAGAGACTATTCTGTACACAACACGTGGTTCTATGGACCTTCCTCTGCGAGGTGTCACTTTTTCCACCCAAGGTGTCCAACATTTTATGGGTTCCGTCATGGGTATCGACAATCAGGACTTCATTAGCAAGATGGAAGGTTTCGCGGTGCAAGGAATGAAAGGTTTGATTGTTCATCATTTTTTTGGCCTGCTCACTCATTATATTCAGGTGCTGCTATGAACCACAAACAGCAGGTCTCTGTGATCTGTTCAAAAATCCGTAACATCATCAATGCCACACTACATGAGTCTTTTAGTGTTCAAAGGCAATATATCTGACTTGTACATGTCCGCAGAACAAGCCACTGGTGATTCTGGCGCCAGAATGCAATGGAGTCATTACTTTCTTAATGTTGTTCAGCATTATCAGGTCACCATTGAGGGCTGGCCTGACAATATGCCTTTCGCTAACCTTGGCCAAGTGTTGAGTGCTCGTTCCGACCTCGAGAAGCTCTACTCAAGATGGGAATCAAAGGAGACAAAATGGAAAGTCTTGACTGACAACGAGTTCCAGGAACTCCATCAGAAACACCTGGAGCAGCTTGCCAGCAGCGAGAATATTGATCACCCACGCCGAACTCGTTCCGACAAAGAAAGAAACACAAAGCACTTGCAACAGCCACAAACACACATCGCCACAAGAAGTACAAAAGCTCTGAGACAGTTGAGGACAATGATGAAGAGCACGAGCACGGAGACAAAGAACAGGACCAACTAAACCTTCGATCTCCTACACCAATCGCTACTCACACTCATCCGTCTCCAGCGCGCATTGACGAGCAACTGCCTGTTCACCAAACTCCTACACCAGCTGTTTCGTCTGCTCATTGTGCTTCTGATACCCTTTCCAATTCATCTGGCATGCCAAATTTCTATATTCCCAGTGACTCAGATGTGTCAGGAAAATTTTTCGGCCCCCAGTTTGACTGTGGTGCTGCTTTGGATGCCTTAAGTGAGATGCTTGATTATACACAGTATACTTTACTACGAAACTTTTTTACAAGTCAGATACTTCGTCCCGCACATTAGACTTTACTATTAGCTTTCACTTTCTTGGTTGTAGTACACATGAACATTGTCATTGTCAAGGTTCAAATAGATATATAGCGCCTATATCAGACTAATACTTGCTTTCGCGTGCAACAAAATAGAACTATGACAAGGCGACCTTTGTCTAACAGGCGCAAGAAGGAAGCTTGGTAACGAGAGACAGGTAGCACTCCCATCCCAATGACCATTCTGTAGTCGGCACAATCCAACCCTCTCAAACCGAATTCTCTGTCCCAGGCTAGATCTCCGATACTACAAGCTACAACTCTGAAGTAAGGCAGAGAAAATCAACATAGTACCACTAACCTGAGCCTGTGCAATGAGAATACGAGTTTGGCAATGGCGTCCTCTAAAATTGTGTGATATGACTGATTTTGATAGGCCTGTGAGCCTAAAAGAACCTGCGCTACGGGACATGGTGTACTGGTGCAGTTCTGACGCAGTGACAAAGGGAGGAGAGGCCAGATACTAGGGCTAGACACAGGGAGGGCACAGATGCCAAGTTTGGCGCAGTTGAACGCAGTTGAAGGGAGCAGATTGTGCTGCGCAGTGTTGGCAGCCAGAAAGACGTCTTCCTCGTCTGAAATGAGGGCATGAGCAGCCAGTAGTAGGCCCTAATAGCTCAAGGGAGGCAGCGCTGTATGATGGTGAGGAGCAAGGCACATGGGAAGCTGCCACCGCTAACACAGGTCCTAATCGGGAAGGGCCTGCAGCGGAAACTGCCGGAATGATGTTTAGGCGGGAATGGCGGGAATGGCACTATAGAGGGCGCTGGCTATCCCAATTAGTAAGCCTAATTATGCCTGGTGTACACGTACCTTGCCAACTATATTTAGCTGTGGTAATACAGTAGTACTGGAGGTCACAAATGATTTAGGGCAATATTTATTGCTGGTGTTGGGATTTAACTACAAACAAGCCTAATTATAGTTGGCAAGGTACGTGTACACCAGGCATAATTAGGCTTACTAATTGGGATAGCCAGGTGCAACAGCAAGCAGCGATGTGTCACAAACTGTCACACCACGTGATTTACCTCTGCGCAAAAATGCATTTTTGAGGCCGTTTTCAGCTCGTTGGGCGGGTGTACCTTTGCAGTAGCTTCCGGGGGCCTACTGAGGTAGGTCATGATATATTCCCTAGATACGCCTGCTAATGCATGCTCCTCAGCGAGTACACAAGCAACTTGGAAATGCACAGGGGAAGCTCAAGAGGGCGCAGAGACATGCAGAGGAAAAATGACAGGCCAGTCAACAGACGGTTTAGCGACGAGAGAACGACAAGCAGGTGGAGGAACTCCAGATGGAAGCGGGCGATATAGAAATAAAGGTAGGTCTTGAGTCCTGGTCTCCTCACTCTTGCATCCTAATGGTCTTTCGCAGATGGCAGAGCATCTTAAGAAGAGTGAAGCAGAGCTCAACGAGCTACTCACGGAATATTGGAAGCTCCGTCACGAGATGGGTAAATTTTTCACTCTGTCTTTGTATTCATCACTCAATGATATCCAGAGGTATACATGGAAACACTTGCAAACAAATTAAACATGAATGTATCTTCGGACTGAGTGTGCCTACCGGGCCCTCGCGATGCGTAGGTCAACTTGAATTTGTGGTACCTTATTAATTACGTGGTCAGTGGCAGAGGGGCACGACGAAATCATCGTTTTTTTCCCCTTTCTGTGTCATCTTTGGTGAGCAATTCTGGCATTACCATTTCTTCATTGGACTGGGGACCGCGCTAAGGCCAGTACACGGCAAGTGGAACTGAGAATGAGTTTTAGTTTACCGTCAGGGGAACACCTGGTCCGCTCACAGTCCACAAGCGATCATCCGGGATACAAGCCATGTGAACACCAATCAAGTGAAATGTGTAAGTCATTATGATTTGCAAGCAGATTTGTTTGTTCACAGTTTCGAACCAGAATAATATGCTGGTCTCCTCTGAATGCATGACCCTTTCCGCTTCAGATGGTCTGACACAGTTTTCGATGCAGGGTGTAGTATGCATTGGCGACTTTGGGCATACGCAGGTCCTAGACGAAGTGCTCGGGAGGGAAGGATTCACTGCTTATACTGGGTCCTCTAACATGCGTTGGAATGCCCCGGAACTCCTAGGTAGCGACGACATAAAGCCCACCAAAGCCAGCGACGTCTTTGCATTCGGAATGTCTATCCTGGAGCTTGTAACCAAGCAGGCACCACCCTATTCACACAGAAAACGTGATCTCACTGTCATTATGGACATCAGTGACGGTCGTTTACCCCTTCGCCCAACCGAGCCGGAAGATGTCTCATGGTGGATGCATGATGAACCATGGGAAGTTTTAAACAAGTGTTGGGTATGTCATGGCTCAGGAGCGAATGAATATTGGAGAAATCAAAATCTTTCTTGAAAGATTCGCCAGTTACCTTGTGTATCATCCAAATTGGCAGACGGAAGAGGTTGATGTTGAGATTGTTCAGTAAGATGTCCTCCTTGCATATGTCATAAGCTACAGATGTACCTATGGTAAATACTTTATCAAAATAATCTCAGAGAGATCTGCGGCTTCATACTCTGCTGTACTGAGCCTGCCGCGCCTTTGACAACATTCCGAATCGACATCTTGAGCACTTCCCGCGCAGAGGGATCCAGCTGAGTAGTGGCCTCCTTGAAGGACGCAGGTGAGCTAGCTGCTAGGGAAAGCAAGTGTGCTATGTCACTAGAGTGTATCATCGATGGAGGCATCTGAGATGGGCGTAGAAGTAACGTGATTGTTGGCAGCAGGACACTCAAGAGACGAGAACCTGCACAATTGAAGTCAGCTATCATGTGGTATTAAACCAAATTCTATTTGTGGGTACTGATACTGACATTGTTCATCCTTAGCCAACGAGACGAGTGTCGCAAATGTTTTTCAGACCTCGTCTATTGAGATGGCCTGCTGCTCTGACACTGTTCCTTCATCCAATCGAGGTACTATTTTGGCAACATATTGTATCAGTGCTGGAAGAAGCAGCCGAATGCAGGTTCAAAGAAGTTTGCTTTTAGACACAGCGATTGCAAGGGTTTTTGGCGCAGTGAACAGCCACAATAGCCATCTGAAACACAAAGGCACTCAGCGACATGCATGGGATGTATTGAAGTAAAAGGATACCTGGTCTGCCTTCTTCGAGCTTTTGAGATATAAGGAAGAACAGGTGCTCCACACATGGTCAAGATGAGCACCGCCGCGAGAAGGTTAGTTTTGACTATTCTTGATGAAATCAAGCCTTCGCGTCCCCTGTGTGACTTTAGTCTCCCACAAACATGTAAGTATTTGCAAACCTTATTTTATCCATGTTCAAAAGACACAAGGTAAAAATCATTTTGCAATATCAGACACATCTCCCTCTGCAAGAACATGCATCGTATTATGCAACAGCGTAAAGGTTAACAGACTTACGAATCGAGAATGCTCCTGGATTGTGATGAGAGTGCCAAAGGATGTAGGCAAAAACCTTGAGACAATGAGTGTAAACCGAGTCTGGAGGAATGGTTGCGTTGCTCTGACTCTCCTTGCTGCTGGACTGCGTGTGAGATCCCATGAAGGACAATTTCTGAAAGACTCGCCTGAGATCACATATTGGCCGAAATGTTTGGCAAAAGTGGTTAGGACAGTGATCAAGTGAATGAGCACCTCTGCAGATTCTGTCATAGCTATTCGATGATTGAGACTCATGAATTCTTGAAAGATAGTAGGATCTGAAAGGGCTTTCCCTGAGTAGCGAGGGTCGAGAAGGCGTTTCAAGTGCTCCTAGGCAGGCGATCACTGTGTTAACTCGTGAGCTGGTGTCTGGCGAGGACGTCGCGAGTGCTTCATATATAAGGCCAAAGAGGGGGAAGAAAAGGGGTGCTGACCCTTATGTTGCGGAGTCGATACCATTGACAAATGTCCCCTCCTTCCCAAGGATAGCAGCTGAAATGTTTTGATCGGAGCGGTTCACAGTGTTCGCGACAGCTTGTAGGATCTTGTTGCCCAGGACGAAGCATGATACTGAAAAAGTGATATTCATTGATAATAATTGATCGATAGGATCGAAACTTACTGGGAGCAGAACTACTTAACCAAGGCTTGCATATGACGGGTCTAAAGCCACTGCTGACGCATCATGTATGAATTCGCAATCTGCTCGGATGACAGCATAATCACGAAGGCTCGCAAACCATTGCGGTGCCAAGATCGACCTGTATGGTTTGATGACATCCAAAAGGTATGTCTGTTCAAAACTAGCAATTTCCAGACGAGCCCACACAGAGAGGATAGAAACCCTCAACATGCCTGATGGATTCGGGGCTCAAGTCCACAAAATTGCCCATAGTTAAGTTGCCAGATTCTTGGAAAGTATGAATATCGTTGTAGATGAGATATTGGATATGCTTACCGTCAACCTCTCTGAGTGCTGTTGTAAGTTGTTTGAGAATTCTCCCCATCTGATTTACATCTTTGACAATGCCACAGCCAACGAATACTGCACAGGCTCGATGGCAGAAGACAAAATTTCAGGAGTGGAATCTGGAGAGAAGGCAGGAGTTAGTGCAGCTGTGATAGGTGCTTGATGTTGCTCAAGTAGGAGAGCGTCTGGATAGTCAGGGTCTGGGGCCTGGCAAAACACCTATTGAAATACTTATGAAAGGAAAATGGCAAGAATCACAGTGCACCTACCTGAATGACATCGCGTAATACGACCAATCCTTCTAGTCGTATCTCTGTGACATATGCCGCAGAAGCTGTGAAGGCCATTTTGATCAAATCTGGAACACGAGACACAAGGAGGCCGTTCACTGGAATGCCCTGGTTACGAGCGAAAGGTATGTCGATGTATTCTCTGCGTCCAAAGCGCGCAACAAGTGTACACATCGCAGTGCAAATAGTTGCGTCCTCCAGCATGACGTAGCAGCCATTGCTAGGTTGCCTTGCCGTGTGTCATCGTTTGACATGGATGCACTCAACAATTGACCTTCGTCATCCATGAGACTGTTGGCTGTATTGACCACTTTCTGGGAAGCATTGATGCGCATCATAATCCTCTAGCAAAGGTCAATCCAAGTGAATGGATTGTGAATTACTGTCTGAAGTAGCCGGCTCGAAACTACACTTCTGACTCAATCGATCGATGGGTCACCATCTAGCATGCCAAACAAATCCTCGACAAGGCGGTCTCCACCTAACCGGGACATTGCTAAAGCGTCTTCCTGCGCCAAGTGATAAAGGGCATCAATTGCTGCAAGTTTGAGGCATCTTCTAGGTGAATCAAGATGTCTTCTGAAACGATTCACGATCTCGGGGATGTCCACATGCTCAGGAGCAAACATAAGGAGATGTTGGATGAACCCTATAGCTTCTACTAGGACTAGTCCAACACCCGTTGTGCCTTCAGCACAGGAAGCCAAAAAGAGCGCTTCGCACTCTTTGGTGGCTCCCTGGCCTCGGCTTCATCTGAATTTTGTTGACATTTACTCAATTACTTAAAATCATGTTGGAACAAAATTTCGAAATAAAAATTTACATTTTTGAGCACGTTGTTGGCAATCATAAAGTAAAAGTACAAACTACTACACTGCAATAAAAGTACACATCACATCAGTCGGTTCTCTATATAAAAGTACATGCGATTTCAATCTGTAAGTCCTCTAAGCACTTCCGTATACACTACATTTGTTGTGTTTGAGCCTTCTTCATTCTCCGGGAAGATAGCATACACTCTCTCCGGATGAGTGCAGCGAGACAATGCAACATAAAGCTGACCATGACTGAACACAGGAGTCCGCAAATTCAGCCCAACCCACTTGACACTTTGACCTTGTGCTTTGTTGATCGTCATTGCGAAAGCCAGGCGAACAGGGAATTGGCGACGCCTGAGGGGAATATGATTTTCTTCAGGACTGGCCTCCAGGCTCATGCGAGGGATCAGGACCGTGTTGCGGTCATCATGGCGAGCTTCATCAACACCGTCCCTCAGAATGCGACACCTAAGGACGCGCGGGGTCCAGGAAAGAAGGATCATGCGGGTTCCATTATAAAGCCCTTCAGAGGGATTTAAATTGCGCAAGAGCATCAGGGGAACACCTGTCCGCAGAGTAGGTAAAGACTCGTGGGAAAAACCTGTGTTTGATTCTGTCACAGCAGAGAATGACCATTCCATGTTCATACACCTCCAAAAACTCTTCGTTGAGCAAGATATTCCACTAAGCTTGAAACAGTTCACATTGGCAATGTGTCATGCATTCATGGCCAATCCCTTTGCCATTAGTGTAAGTTCCCACAAAATCCTTGAATGTGTCCGGAAGCTGCCAAAGTGTGCTTCAATGGAGAGGACCTCGATTCAGGAGGAAATCGTACCTTTTGAAAATATGTGACATGGTTCCCCAAATTGCAGGATGGCCTACAGCAGCGATACTTAGATTCATTTCTAATGTACATATAAAGCGGCCACAGCTTCACATTACCAGATGCTGTCAGTTGTGTGGCATCTGACCAAAACATCAAAGCGACAACAATGCAGGGTAAATCACACTCTGGCTCTCCAGGAGACTCAAGGAGATCACGGTGGGCATCCATAAAGGCTGGTGAGGTGTAAAGCTCACCTTGAATGTTGACCTCGTGGGGAAGATGGGAAGTATTCCATCGCAATTGGTAAGGTTCATAATGAAAATGCTTATCATCCTGAGCATTTGCAAGCTTTTCTCGAACAATGGAGGTGAGTGACCGATGGTAAAGTTCAGCTGCAATGTAAGGTTAAGGGCCTGGCTGAGCTACAGTCCAAGAGAAAGGTATTTTGATGTTGACTTGTGTTTTGTGCTAACCGGCATCCTCATCCTCCCATTCCTCCCCCTCGCCATTGTACACACTTGCACCTAGCTGTGAGTCTATTCTGGCCCATGGTGTACTCCAGACATCATCAGGATTAAAATCTGGATCACTGACGATATCAATAAGTTCTTTGAAACTCTGCTGGGACTTCTGTGTGCCTCCATGCCAGTACCAATGACCCAGCTCGAAGGATGATCGATTGGGGTAGGGGAAAAATGAAACATTGTCAGGCTCTGTGAGGGCATCTAGCTTAGTTGGGGCTATAGCCGGGACATGACTGATATCTTGGAGTGTTACTGCTTCCTCTGGGTCATGAGAAGGGGGGGTTGATGAGAAGAACTGGCATATCAACCCAAATATACTTCTAGCAGTACAAAAAGGGGGGGCCTGCGAAGATGAGCAAGCACTGGTAGATGCATCTGCTGAACTGGCTGGTTGGTCAAGCTCTGGTGCTACAGTAGTATAGCTGGAGGGAAGGCTTGGGGGGGCTTGCGGAAGCACATCCTTGTATTGCCTATAATGAAGCGGCAATGGGATGTCAGTGTGTCAGCTCCTCTGCTGCACCAGTGACAAGCCCTGTTCTGTGTTGATCTCTATAGGTGAGACAGCAAGATCAGTATTTAATGATAATGTGGGTGTGTGGGCCTACAGCAGGTCAGCAGATGGGAAAGAGCCATTCGCAAGGTGGCCTGGCTCGCTCAACGCCACTATGATAGGGCCAGTAGACTGTCTATCGAGGTTGTGGTTAACTCGTAACCGTTTTGTGGAGCCAAGAAGATGTTTTGCTTTGGATAAAGCAGAGAATAATCGTTTCTTGCCCTTAGTGCAAGAGCCCTGATGTTTTGTGTAGGCACTCTCCTGCATGAACTCACAAGTACAAGCACATCTGAAGGGAGTCGGCAATGAACCTGCCCAATCCATGAAGGAGCTGAAGGGGTAAGGATGCGGTTGAGTCTGACATTGAAGGGTAGGTGGAAGAACTGACGATTTTGACAGCATAACATAATATGGAGGGTACAAGCGATCGAACCACTAGATTCCCACCTCTTGCAGCAGGGTATAGTGAGTGGGGACACTTTATGGTGGCAGCATAAGCTGGGCAGATGATATTACTACATGTCGCAGTCTCATAAAAGCAGAGTAAATACTGCATATTTGCCACACTAGATCATGCAATGGAAGCCCCATCTTCACCTTCGTCTACCATCACTGCCCCACCTGACTGTCGCAAAACCGCTTGGAGGTTAGCGAAATTAATTGTGGAGGCTACATTCTGCGACTTTGCCCTTCTACACTATGACAGCACCTCAAAGCCCATGGTCCAATGGTGGTGGTGAGACATGCCTATTTCATATCCAAATTTTGAGTCATGATGCTGCTCCACACAAATGCAGGCCTATCGATGGTGATGGAAAGAAGATTTTGCCATTTAACCTGGAGATCCACCGCAAAGAATATGAATTGAAATACCCATGCTGCCTATGCGCCGATGGTAGGGGTAGGACTGCATACATAGAGTGCATGGTGTACTTGTGGCGGAATAAGGACACTGGGCAGTTCAATTGGACTGCAAGGTGCACATCTGATGAATGTGGTTACCGAGGTCAGCATTCTTCATGCTCAAGAAAATCACAACTGAAGAGTCGACCTCACCTAGTTAAAATTGACACATACTTCAGGCTACCAACTATAACCACCTTCCAGTATCCTCGGTTTACTTTACAGATTTCAAATGCTCTTGTTATACTGGCGGAATCTGATATGCTGTTGTTTGAACAACAACTTTGAGTGACAAGTTGAACATGTCGTGGATTTTGACTGATGAGTATCCAAGCTCTCTGCAAAGGAGGCTCAATCTGCTATCCAGAGGATCTTCCTTTTGGAACTCGCAGAGACAAAAACCGGATTTTCGAATTTCCATGACCTCACCATATATGAGTGCAGCTATGCAAGTGCTGCTACTATTTGACTGCATTGTCGCCTTGGAAGTGGTACATTTTTGTGTATGGAGACAACATTCAAGCTGATGACATGTGGCCTTTCCCTTTCCCTTGCATCCAGCAGTGCCTCACCCTAGCTTGCAATGGTCCTCTACATTTGAGCAGGCATTGCTAATGCATTGCTAATGCATTGCTAATGCATGCATAATATCACATACTCTGCCTGTTTGTGGTTGTCCAAAATCTACAATCTTATCGCTCCAATGAAGCTCCATACCCTCCAATCCACAAAAAGCCGCAAATGTGGACCATGCTCCGAGCATATACAGTTGGGGACAGGCAAAATTAACAACTTTCATAGCAGACTGAGGGATTTTTTTGGCACAAAACAGCCTTCAGATATCGATTCTACAGGTCAAAAGACATTCAGAAATGCCTTGGACTGAATTTTCCCATGTGTTTTTTGGGTACGGCCAAATTTTGGGGTAAATTTTTTCTTGATAGACACTAGGAGCACAACAAAATGGTATGAATCTCAGTTAAGAACAGCCATGATTGAATCCATCACAGTTTGAGACACGGAGTGGTGTTGTTTCTGCTTTCGCACTGCCCAAGCTGCAGCTTCCCCAGTCAAACCCTTTTGGTAGGCACTCATAAAACACCACAAGTGATTGATGAAACAACGAAAGACCTCTAATGGGCAAGCATCGAGAAAATGCTCAGCTGCTTTCTTGGCTTCACCAAAACTGTTTTTTGGTGTCTCTCGGTGTAGAGACTCAATCCTGAGTAGCCTCACAATGGCCCATATTGCAATGTAGGTCAAGTCTATGGTACTATGCATGCAACGCGACACTAGCGTGATAAACGCGACGTTCGCGCGACGCGCGCGACATAGGCGACACAAACACGACATAGGCGACACTTGCGCGACTTGCGTGCGCCTTAGACGAACTTTCCCGCGCCTAAGCGCCCTATGGCGCCTGACTTCCCATAGCCTATTCCCATGTCCAACCAAGTTCCCAGGTGTGTATTTCTCCATTTATCATTTATCTCAACATCGTACCATGTTTATTTTACACTTACGGGACACTTTACCAACTACCACCATCATCTATCTACGAGTTTTTTACACTTTGGTCACCCCATTTCGGGTACCTCTTAGGTTATATTATACCTATAAGGGTTTTCACCTAGGAGGTGCTTTTCAAATGGTCTGGCCGATGTTTGTTGGTCTTTCCCCAAGTGCATAGGGTCCAAAATAAAATATGTTGGGCATGGTCCAAGGATCAAAATAATTTTGGGGTGGGAAAGACCACCAGCCAACATTGGACCATACATGCATGGTATTTTCCCATGGTGGAGGGGTGTCAGGGGTCCTCTTACCACCCAATTTTCTGCGCCAAAAAAATGAAAATTTTGTGGCATTTGTGGCCCCTAATATGCAAGCCAATGGGTCATATAATGTCTGTAATGACTATTAGATGTCTATAAGCTTTGAAATAGGATCAGAAAACACAAAATGATTTCATTCACTGCCCCCCCCCCCCTTTCAGCCCAGGAATCACTCCCCTCTGAAAATGATCACACATTTACCTCGCACCGATATGTCTACAAAATCACCTACGCCTACAGAATCATCACTTGTGGATCACACTATTCAGATATTAATCCACCAATGCCTGGTCTCAGCTACTCGCCCACACCTACAGAATCATCACTTGGGGATCGAGATATCAACCATGTGTCCGCTAATGCCTGGTCTCAGCTACTCACCCACGCCTACAGAATCATCACTTGGGGATCGCACTATTCAGATATCAACCATTTGTCCGCTAATGCCTGGTATCAGCTGCTCGCCCATGCCTACAGAATCATCACTTGGGGATCACACTATTCAGATATCAACCATGTGTCTACCAAGTAAAGCTCCCACATTTTATTGCATATTATCATTGCCACTCCCCTTTGTTGCACACACCCCCTGCTTCGTGTTCTAACAGACTCGCAAGTAAAGCTCCCACATTGTATTGCAAATTATCTTTGCCACCCCCCCGCCATTGTATGACAGGCTCGCAAGTAAAGCTCCCACATTTTATTGCATATTATCTTTGCTACCCCCCCTTCGTCGCACCCCCCCCCGCCATCGTATGACAGACTTGCAAGTAAAGCTCCCACATTTTATTGCATATCCAAGTCTTTGCCACCCCCCCGCTTCATCTTCTAAACAAAATGGTCATTCATTCACTGCCCCGCCCCGCCCCCCCCCCCCCTAGCCCAGGATCACTCCCTCTAAAAATGATCACACATTTACCTTACACCAATATGTCTATAGAATCGCCTATGCCTACAGAATCATCACCACTTGGGGATCGCACTATTCAGATGTCAACCATGTATCTACCAATGAGGATTGGATAGCCCCGCCATCAATTATGGGATGGACCATATTCGATTAAGGGAAGGACCACCATGGATGGGATAGGCCCACAATCAGTTATGGGAAGGACCACGGAGGATGGGATAGCCCCACAATCAATTTTGGGAAGGACCAAGGTGGATGGGAAAGGCCCGCAATCAATTTTGGGAAGGACCACGGAGGATGGGATAGGCCCGCAATCACCTTTGGGAAAGACCACGGAGGATGGGATAGCCCCGTAATCAATTGCGGGAAGGACCACAGAGGATGGGAAAGGCCTGTAATCAATTATTGGAAGGACCATGGTGGATGGGATATGCCCATAATCAATTAAGGGAAGGACCATGGGCAATGGGAAAGGCCCATAATTAATTCAGGGAAGGATGCACATGGTCTCCATATACAATTAATTTTTGTTAAATAAATGATTAAAATAAATGATTAATTGTGACATTTGTAGTGACAGATTGGTAGGATGTTATATGTAGCGTGATTTCAAGTGTATCACAAGATGGAATTTGGAGAACTTGTCTGATTCAGCATGTAATTACAGTAACATTGTCATGATACAATCTCAATGGTATGGGGAGGGGGGGATATGGTGTACACAAGTGTGGATTAACATGACTCGATGAAATGTTGATATCAAAGGTATAGTGATGGGGGGAGGGGGGGTGAAATTTCTGTAGCAGAAGCTTACTGGGCCTTTACAAGAGTGGGGTGTGTGATATCCCCTTAGACGTCAGGAGAAGTAGATAGATCTACCTGCGCAATAATCATGCTTGGTCAATCAAAGGAAGTGAAATACAGTATGACGTATAAATCGGCGTTGGAAAAACTGGTGGGATTAGCGAGTGCTAGGTCACCCTGTGCGCCAGGGAAAATGTGACTGTGCTGCGATCTGTCATCATGACTCGGATACGGTAGGGCCTTCCAATCACTACTACGGTCATCATGACTCTGACCGTACGCTAGGTCCAACGACAACTTGAAGTCATCTGAGTCATCATAGTCATTATTAGATGACTCGGAGGCCGCCGCCGCTGGCCAGGGCTCTGGCAACGGTAGCGATCGCTGCATGACTCGAATCTGGGTACAAGAAGTTAGTAGGCAAACTTGTCAAAGATTCAATGAGATGATTGCCACTATAACTTGACGGGAAACAGCCTTCTTTAGTAGAAGTCATGCCAGTGGCAATACTAGGGGGTGCCTACAGACCACGGCATTGAAATTGGGGTGAGGCTAGTCATGGTACACTGGTAGACCATGGCATTGAAATGGGGGTACCGGTACTACCGTAACGTTAGGTCTGATTTGAACCGGATCGATCATCCAATTTGAATCACACGACCGTATTTCTCAGGCTAATACCAATTCACCCAACTGACTCCAGAGTCTAGATACCCGGGCCAGTCAAGTGATTCAACTGCCCCGACATTAAGGCGACAAACATGCATGCTTCATGCTTGGTTCATGCTTGGTTGCAAATGGATAAGCCCATAAGACCA